AAAAAAATACTCAATTATGATTGGTTAATTTAGAAATATATCAAAATATTTTAATTTTTTAATTTTTTTTAAAAAAATTGACCAACTTTGAGATTTTTTTAAACAATATGTAATCAAAAATTAATTTAATTTTTTTTGATAAATATATTTTATAAAACTTCAAATATTAAATATATTTATTTAATTGTAAGTTAATATATAAAATTTTGTAAAATTGTATTTTAATTCAAATGTATTAAGTTGGTGTATCATGCTTAATGAGATGACCAATATGTATTTAGAATTTAAATCAAGAAAATATAATATATTAAAAGCTTAAATAATAATGTTAATTGACTTAACCAATTATATTATATCATATTATATCACATTAATCCATAGCACTAAATTATTTCTAACAACTAATTTTACAAAAGTTAAACATTTAGTTAAATATATATTTATACTAAAAGAATAATATCTTCAAATTTGTAAATTCAATGTGACGTTAAAAGTTTTTTGCATATATGAAGTGACATTTTGGAAATCAACAGATCTATTTTTCTAATATTAGTTAGGTCTAAATTGACAAGTACTGTAGTAAGGAAGCACTTTAAAGGCAGGGTAAAGTGTTCTACATTTCAATCAAAAAGCATAGATGCACTTTGGTCATGTGATTGGAAGAATTCTAAACAGTCAAAAGTGCCAAAAATAAATTTAATTAAAGGACTTTAAGTCTGTAGAATACATTGAATTAGTAATTTTAAGTAAATAGTAATTTTAAATAATTTATATTGAAATGATAATATGCTCTTAGAAGATTAGCAAATGAGATTATGCCAGGTAATATTGTAACAATAGAGTGAGCAAAAAGCAGCATCAGCTAATAGTTTTCTGTCTAATCGAAGCAGACTAGCTGTTAAATAGTGTTGTATTTGAATAACTGCACTTCACAATTCAAAATGTTATATAATGTATAATAAGTAACTTTTTTGAAAGAGAGTATTAGATTTGGCTAATAAGTGATTAAGGCTTACATTACTTTAGATTAACAAATACAAATAGGGTAAGTTATATGAACAAGAACTTAAACAAATAATGAAGTTTATAGATTTTACAGAGTGTATACTGAGTTTAGTATTTTATTATAGACATTACAATGTATTGAGAATTGTATTTTTTAATAAAGCAAGCTGAAAATACTGTCTTTAAGAGCTATTTCAGTCTTTATTTATATTAATTTTTAATTATAATTTTTAAATTACATTAATCTTGCTCTCTATTTAATTTGACTTTTCTAAATTATTTACTTAAACCTATTTACTTAATAAATCCTCCTCTAATTAATCTCCTTTCTTAACTAATCTCACTTCTTTGATTTAATTAATTAATTAATTAATTAATTACTAAGATATCTATATTGAGAAATTAATTATTATATCTATTCTCAAGTGAGGTTCTGGCAGAGTATTTTTGTTACATTATTGGATCTAATAATAGAAAAATGGCAGAATTAGGAGGCTACAATGTGGCAAGAGAAATGAATCAAGAAATACTAACTATATTAATTAAATGTTTAATGAGAAAATAGTGCATAAATAGACTCTTTTTTTTGACCTTTTTATAAGCTTTTCAGTGGCTTGAGATTATGTAGCATGTTCTTGTGAATTGGTACTAATTGCAGTTCGTATTAGTTGTCAGTAAAGTAGGGGTTGTGATCTGTAATGTGAAACCCTTTTCCAATTGCTCACTGTTTTTTTAATCTGTTAATCCTTGTCAACATGCAAATGATCATACTAATTTTTTACAATACCAGAAACTAGTACTCTGAACAGATTAGTTTGGGTTAGGTTATAAGCCAACTTAAACCTAACCTGAAACTTTAGATTAAGTCAGCTTAAAATATTTCAGGTTAGAGCTTTAACTCAACCTGAACCAATCTGAAATTTTAAGGCTAATATATTTAAATTTTTTAATAAATTAATTCAGTTATCTATTTTGTTCTTAAAATTTATATAATAATAACTATCAAAGTTGGCTAATCAAATCTAAACTCAATATGCTTTATAACTACAGTAAAAGTTATGTGTTACATATTAAAATAAATAAAAAAATTTATTTTTATCCTATAATTCATAGAATTATAGCTGTTCTTATAAATTCTGAAACAATTAATAAAAATTGATCAGTTAAATTTGATAAGTTTTTGAATTCTTACTATAATGCTAAAAATCCAATACCAATAACACCAAATCCAAAAACTTATTGAATTTGGCAAATCAAATTTTTATCTCTTGTTCCAGAATTTATAAGGACAGCTGTAAAAAAAAATAATTGATTTTGCCCTACAAAATTTCATGGCAAATTCTTAATTTTGATTGACTAAGATTAATGAGCAAAATATTTGGTTGGAATTACTTGGAATATTATTTTTGTAATGAAAAAAAATCAATATTATGATCAGAAATTAGTAAATTATGTAATGTGGGCCAAAATTTTGCGATCTGTGGCGATTAACCAATAAAAATCGAGAATCTGCCGTGACAATTTTGTTTAAAGAAATCTGATTGGTAGTTTTATTTAGACTATTATTTAAGAATACTTATGTAGTTGCTATTATAAAAATATGTACTTGCTATTAGAATCCCCAAAAAACATATTAAATGCTTATTTCAAGCATCTCTTATTTGGATAATTGCGGGTCGGGTCGGGTTCGGTTCGGGTTAATGTTCAACCCGAAACCGATCCGAAATTTTCGGATCTGATTTTTCTAACCCGAACCCGACCCGAAATTTCGGGTCGGTTTTCGGATTGACCCGACCCAATTCGGAGCACTACCAGGAATGGAGGGGTTTTCTAATTTCTCCCACTTCCTATTGGACGAAGGAAAACTGCTTTTAGATCAAATAATAAAAATATCATTGAAACAATATAAAAGTCTAGCAAATCATTTACTATACTAAAATTTAGCAAGGGATCTTTTTTTGTTAGAATACGAAAGATGATTTTATAACTAAAATTTAAAGTTACTGCCAATTTTTGAAAAAACTTGGATTTTTTTTTTTTTAAATTTTATGTTACATTTGATCTTATAATTTGATTGGTAAACGAAGCATGGCACAGCATTTGCAAATGTCAAATCAAAACTGGGGGAGAAAGAAAATATATTGTTAATTTTTGACTCGTATCTAAACGCTAACCCCGACATAAAATAATTTGAAGAGTTGAAAATTTTATGACAACAATTATAAAATAAACATATTAAGTATTTTCTTTTTTAAAAAGCAATCTATGTATGTACATAATATTACACTACGTACATATACAGTTTTTTATACTTAGTCAAAATTTCCATACATGGACATTTCCCTAATAATAATTGTTACGTAACACAATATACGCTTTTGTTTATGACGCCATATTTTTATTTTTGATTTCTGTTAATTTATAAAAACTGCACGATTTAAAAAAGAAATTCCCATAAAAAGAATTAGCAGTTATAGAAACTATAATGATAATCACTATTTTTTACCGAAAAAGTTCATTTCCACTGTACATAGATTCACAATATTTTTTCTTTTTTTGGAAGGACACTGGTTTTTAAATCCAATAACTGTAATGTTCATGCTATATAAAGTACAGATTTTATATTATTAAGAGGTAATATAAAAAAGTAAACGGTGAAAATTTTAAATATGGTACAAGGAATTTTACATTGATCAATGTCAGGCGTAATGAAAAAAGGAAATTTCCCGATTATTACTTGTGCAATAAAAAGTTACTAAACATGGCATTTACCTAAAAAAAGGAGTGGAATAATATTAATTATTTAATAAGAATCCGCGCTTGAACTAAGAACACTCTTCAGTCTTTTTATCATCTATTCAATAATAGAAAGAGCAATGAATGCCATAAAATTTAAAATCCTCGATCCACAGTTAATGTCTGATGCTCTTGAATTAAAAGAGCTCAGAAAAAAGTTCAACGAACAAACTCGACAGCTAAACAAACTTATAATGGAAAGTTCACAATCATCTAGCAGTTCCCAACAAATATTTGAGTTCAACTTCCCACAGCAACAAGAAATAACATTGAACTCACCTCAAGCTGTTAATGTGCCTAAAGGAGCGAATGCGAATTATGGAGCTAATCTACCAACTCAAGGTTTGCTTGTATAAATATAATTATAACTTTTGTATTCATGCCATTAATCTTTAAAACTTATGTGTAATTAACCTATACGTAGCTGAAGGTGTTATTCCAATTAACGCTACGAATCAATACAATTCAAATAATACCTTATTTGATTTTCACCTTGATATAAGTGTCTCTAATGAATTAGCCACATCTCCTGGTATATACATAATTTTTTATTTAATCCGCTAGTTTACCAAGTCCTGCCAAAATAACTCCCGTATCGCGCAAACTCTAATGATCATAGATTTTTTTCTTGTTGTTTTTGTACGTTATTACGTAAGCACAACAATCTCGAATTAAAACTCAGTTAGTCAACCACGACTTGTAAATCATGATCAATAACATCGATATTACAAAATTTGTTCAGTCGGAACAAATGATTGGCTGAAACGTGCCACTACGCGGTACATGTCAGCCAATCATTTGCTCCGATAAACAAATTTCACGATATTAATCGTTGCATGACCAATATTTTATACTTATTAGCCGTTTCGCATCCAATAATTATGTAGCATCCTATCTTGATATTTTATTAACATTTCCGTATTTGTAATACTGTACTCACCAATAGACAGAACAACTAACTTTCATTATAATAATGGACTAAACAAATCTGATTCTAAACGACGACGAACAATGGATAATAATGAACTAAACAAGTCTGATTCTAAACGACGACGACCAACAGCTAATACAAAAACTCGTTCAAGCACATTACCATCTTCGAATATTAATGCGTATAAAAATGTTAGGCAAGCCTCCATGCCTATTACATTGGATGCCTCGATGATTCAAGGTTTGTCTAATAAATTTAATTATAAATGTTTACAAATAAGTTTTTTTTATATTATTAATCTTTAGAATTTATATGCACCGTATATAGCAGAAAATATTCCTCTAATTGATACCATGGATATATTGAATTTATTTAATCATCACTCTCATGAAAATGCTTCTAATCCATTAACTACATCAAATGGTATATACCCAATTTCTATCAAAATTGCCCATTGTGTCCGTTCTTAATAACTTATCAACATTTTCGTATTTATAACACCAACAGGCAGTATAATTGATTATCATGGTAACCAACAAACATCATCCCAAATGAATGTTGAACAAACGTCACTTCAATTGAATGTTGAACCAACATCATCCCAACTGATTGTAGCAGATCACATCAACTTTGATTGGTTTAACTGAAGCTATAAGCATGTTGCATCAAGTATTGTAACAAGAATCCGACTTTTCTTAATGGTATAGACTGTAATATCAAATATGTAACAATAAGCTTGAATCTATTTAATATGCGTGTGTTATTAATATATTTTTCTCTCATCACCCCTATTTACATAACAAAGAATCTAACGTTAAAAACATGGATATTTAATTCTGAAGATACATTCGAAGATTTTAAACGGAGATTACGGAAAACCCGATACAGTCGATATTGTTTAATGCATATACTCTCGAAAATTAGAAAATTTTGGTTTTTTATCACAAAAAATTGGTTCTATAATATAGATGCACAAAAAAGCTTTTGACCTATTATATGAAATTAAACATCTCAACCGTATTTGTATAATAAAAAATTAAAAAAAAGTTTTATAAATAGTGTATATTTTGGGCATTTACTGTAGATATTATTATATATTTGGTCATTTTGTTTTTTTTTCATAAGGTTTATTTCATTATATATGGGGTTTTTTTCTGTAAATTATCTTCGAAACGTCAAAATGAAATAAAATATGTGCTTTTATAATTTCAATTTTTAGTACGGACTTCAGCTCCAGATTGATTAAAATATTTTTATTTAACAATGTTACAATGTTCATTATTTTACTTTGTTCATTCTTAAGAGAAAACATTAAACAAATAAGTAAAGATGTTGGAATTAATATTCCACGATTGATTACACAGAATCAAAATTTAGTAATGATAGTTTTCCAGAAACTCTATTGTAAATTAATTTTGCTAAATATAGAATTTCCAATTTTCCTCAGCCTAAATTCACACCGTCAAACTATACACTGCAAAATAACAAAGTATTTTAGTTGATGCTATACATATTCAATGCGAAATATTTCTTATAAATAAGTGATCTTGTAATACACATTGAACTAATTAAGACTAATATTTTATTGATTTCTTATTGCTATACTTTTTGTATTAAACAATACGGAATTTTATCAGAACATCTAAAGAATATATGAATAAAATATAAATATAAATAGAAATTGTACCGTTTTACAAGACTGGTGCTTTAAAAAATTCATTGTCATATCAATAATTTTTGTCGGAAACATATCGTCATGTTCGGTAAACTGCGACTCTGTCGCACCACAATCCAGGATCTTGTGTGACCAACGATAGTTACCTTTCTAAAGAGGGTGTTAGATTTGGCTGGTGGGTTATTAAGGCTTTTGGTTGCTTGGGTCAACGAAGGCCAGTAGGGTATGTTATGTTATCGAGAACTTGAACGAACAATAATTTTATAGGGTTTTTACGGGTAATGCAATATTATTATGGCGATGTATAGTATTGGGACTTAATATTTAATAAAGCAAACGAAGCATAATGCTCCTAAGGGGTCATTTCGATATTATTCAGTTTCGTCACGACTTTACACTTAATTTTTCTTTTGATATTAAGCTTATATCTTTAAAAATAATTTAAAATAGTTACATATTGAGATGCCCTAAATTGGCGAGTCTGTTGCTAATCAAGGTCGGCTTCGTGTAATGTTCTGACGGTTTCTGTCGAAAAAGGCGTGTAGATTTGGCAAGCGATTTCGATTCGGGTCTGGCTTATCTTGGATAGACAACACTACGTCGAGACTATCACTCTAATTCTTTTAACACTGCAGTATTCCACATTACTTCGAGAATACTAGACTAATGGGAGTGGGATTTATTAATATTATGAGTAAGTATTTTATTATGATGATGATTCTCTACAGTCATTCATAGAAGAATCTTTATTTGATGTATGCAAGATAGGTTGTTTATTAATTTCTTATGTCAAAATCTGTTTTATTACTAGGATGAAATTATAGGTTATTTATAAACAAATTTCTATCTATTGTTAGGATGCTGATATCCATTATCATGCTTATAATGATGATAGTACTTATATCACATATATTGATTATACTAATTATAATCAATATCTGCAATATATGCATTATAATCATTATAAGCATAAGATTCCAATTTTGATGAGATCTTCCTAACTGAGTCAAAATTATGATTAATGATCATGTATCAATGATCTTATAATGAAATCAGTGTTTTGTTGATTATGTGTTCTGGGTCTAATAATATATATATCTTATGGTCAAAGTTAACACTTGCAGGTAGAATTAATTATTAAACTGTTAGTCAAATAACTACTATTATTTGTACAAAACAAATAAATTATAAATTATATATAAGAATAAAAACTTAGACTAATTTATCTACAATCTAAACCTACTAACTTATTAGGTTTTAAACATGCACTCTCCCACCTCTCACTTCCCTTATCTACTATTAACATTCTCTCTGACCTTCTCACTGATCGTCACAATCAAGTTATAACTAATCTTGGCTTAACTTCATCTTATTCAGTTCACAACAGCATTGACCAAGGTGAAACTATTACTCCTTTGCTATGGTGTATTTACTATGATCCACTTATTTCCTACATATACTTAAACACTTCTGGTTACAAACTACAATCCTCTTGGACCACTAATCTCAAACTTCAAACATTTAACTCATTACAAAAAAAATGCTCTGTTTTGGCTTATATGGATGATACTCTTTGGATTGC